CATGTCACATGCATCTTAAACGCAGTTTGTCCAAAACTGAACTTAGCCTTCCCCTAAAAGTCAAAGTACATTTTGAAAAACTGTGTAGGTACTTAATGCCACAGACCTGTACACTTGAAATTCATTACATTTAATCAACTGTATGTTATGTACACTGAACCACATAAAACCATTTTTTAAAAGCTGGTCCTCCTCCTTCAGTGCCCAAGTTAGTAAACAGCACTACTGCTCATGGCGGAGGTGACAGGAATAGATGCGTCATTCTTGCCCCCCCTTTTCTCTCAGGCACGCTGAACCCAGTCAGTCCCAGAGCCTGAGAGCCTCGTAATCACCTCCCACTGACCTGTCTCCAGCAGCCTCCTCACAGTTCCCCACGTCCACGCTGGCCCCTCCAACTCCTGCTCCATTGGACAGCCAGAGTGTGCTTCAAGAAATGGCAGTCACATCACGTACTGCCCATTACAGCCCTTCAAACACTTCCCTCTGCTCTAAGGATGACCCCCAAATCTCCCCTCTGCAAGGCCCTGCCCAATCTGGCCCCTACTGATCCTGCCCTTCCGTTCTTGGTCCTCTTTTCTCCAATTGGCTCCTTCACCACCAAGCTCTGCCCCCCGCTTACCTGATGTCTGCTTCCCCTTCAGGTCTGAGCTCTAACGTCACATCCTCTAGGAAGCCTTCCTCAACCCTTGCCCCCCAGTTTCTCAACCTTGGCACTATCAGCATTTTGGATCTGATAATTAATTGTTCAATCGTGGGGTGGAACTGTCCTGTGCCTTTGCAGGATGTTCAATGGCATCCCTGACTCTAGATGTCAGCAGCATCCTCTGCCAAACCAGCCCCTGGGATAACCAAAAAGAATCCAGGCAGTAGCAAATGTTCCCTGGGGTGCAAGATGGCTCCCTGTTGAGATCCACCTCCTCAGTCTAGGCAAAAGCCATCTACTTTCCTGCAACATGTTCTCACAGCATCCTGAACATCTCTTCACAGCATTTAGCATAGGCACAATTTCTTCCATAGTCGTTACTGCCTTTCAGACTGCAAACTCCCCAAGTGTAGAGGCACACTAGATCTGTCTTGTTCCTGCAACATCCCGATGCCTGACACACAGTAGGGTAACCTCATTACTCTGAATAAGTGAGAGGCTTTGGGCAGTTTTTCCTTTTAATACTATTTTTAAATTGACATGCTTCTAGTAATTCAAATCAATGCCTACACTAAATCAGATTTCTTTGGGGGTTGCTTAGTGACTAGAACTTTTGAGATCATGGTCGTAAGGAAGAACTTCCTCAACAGGTCTGATGAACCCTTGAAACTCACAACTTTTCCTTTATCATGGGAAAGATGGGATTAACCCATGGGAACTCCCACATAGTGTTCTTAAGAATTAATCTGTGCAAAGTCAAAGATGGATCATACACAGTGCTACAAGAGGAAAAACCACAGAACATTTGCAAATTTTCTATAAGCAGTACCTGTGTGCCTAAACACATCTGCCTGCTTGCTTCATAATGTGTCTAGTAAAACGCAAACAAAACAAAACAAAACAAACAAACAAAAAAAACTGGCTCCAAAGGAGCCAGTTACAGTTATGAGAAAGTGCTCAAATACCAAGCCCACAATGTTTGTCCCCCAGGAAATTCCCAAAGGGGTCAGAACAGCTCCTTCCAATTCATGCTGCTATTTGAAACAGATGCTCTCCCTCCCTCCCAGTAACTTAACTGTTGGCAAACTCCCCTGGGTCAAGTCCATGACAAGGGGGGCCATGCCAGTTCGGGGGTCCTGGACTACCTGGATGACAAAGAATCCATGCAGAAGATTAAAATCTGTGCCGGAGACATTTGCATACTGCTTAAGAAATAAAGAGAGGGTTTTAAGATCAAAAAACACAAAATGACCTGGAATTAGGTCTGACTTTTGGTGTCCTAAAATTTCCGACTCATAGTAATGAAAGGAATCTGAGCAAGACCTGGCTCAGAATGAAAAACCATCCCCAATTTTGGCAGGTGCTAAGAAATACAACGTTGGCTCACGATGAGAAGAGACAGGGATGTGAAAAATAAAAGCTAATACCTATTATTTTATCAATATCATTGGTTTGAATAAGCTGCTTCTATCAATTAGGATTAGGTTTAGCAACAGGATTAGGTTTGGATGCAGATAATCTCATGCAATACAAGTCTGCAAACAGGCGATGTAGAGCTGGCATAGTGCTTCACGTCCATCTGGCATCCAGGCTTCTTCTTTCTCCTCTACCATCCTTACTACAGGCTTCCATCTTCAAGGTCAGCTCATGGTCACGAGACAGCCACCACGGCTCCATCCACCAGATCCCCTTAACAGGCAACGGGGAGGATGAAACAGAGCAAAAAGGCCTGGATCCCAGCTGAGTCAGCCACCTTGAATGAGCTTTACCAGGAGCCCCACCCAACAGTCTCTAAACATATCTCTGTAGAGCAATAGCTGCCCCTATATGCAAAGGCCACTGAGAAATGTTTTATATTGCTACTGCCACCGCTGCTGCCACCACCCCAACATCATTCCTCCACCCTTCTCCTTGACCCGAATTATATTAGGTTTTTTTTTTTAGGAAAACAAGGGCCAAAGGGTTAGTGTGCAGGCGGCTGGCAGTCTCTGCTACCATGGGATCAGTATGTTAAAACTGTAAGAGGTGGCAAAGTGCTAGTATTCTATCTAGTCCATGCCTCCCATTCATATAAGAAAACCGAAGCTCAAAGCCACTAAAAGCCACACAACGAATGGTAACCTGGAGGCTAGAATAAATCTTCTCATTCTGAAATTGGTGGCAGACTTTAGAACCAAAGTTGCAGTGAATTCTGTCTGTATATGCCTGTGGGTTTAAAAGATATTTTCTATATTGGCTTTTTTCTAAAAACATAAACAAATATGCTCTAGTTTGTGGGGAAACCAAACTATACAGTCAGGCTAATCTTATATGGGAATATTTAAGGTATCTGTAAATTATCAGGATTGTTTACATGCCTCAAATACCTGTCAAATTCTCTGTTTTAGCAAGATTCGAAGAACACCGTGAGTGGGCACATCTTTATACGTGTTGGTGCCCTTCCCCTAAATCGAAGCAGAGTTCCATAAAAGGTATTCATGATTGTCACTTCAGACTTCGAAGAATACAGCCTCCTGTCTGTGCCAACCCATGAAAGCCAGTTCACAAAGCCCAAATGTTTCACAGGGACCTTTTAATGCATTTTATGTCTTATTTATTGTGCTTATCTGACAACTTCACAAGGCTAACAGACATCTCCAAAAATGTGTTGACATTTTAGTGCATTCTGAATGGCCGTCAGTGTATTATCAAATTTGGACAGTGCAAATATTCCCCTAAGGGTAGTAAAAAATAGACACAGCAATACAAATGTGCATTTCAGCCCATATGTTGTATACATTATATACAAATATTATCCCCCCAGTACAGCATTATAAAGTGCGGTGCTATAAATAGAATGCCAATTTCAACTACCACCCACCCATTTGGTTAGCTGCAAAACATCCAGGCGACAAGCCAACTGATGCAGCCAGGAGTCACCCAGTGACTTTCCCAAACCTCCAACCTCCTTTCTCCTAGGGCTGCCACCCAGCAATGCCTTTCTTCCACTGAAGTCGATTCCAGCCAAATTCAGTTGCTGCCCAAGACCAACTACAGCCTTCTCTGCCCAAGGTGCCCTAATATTTTTAATTACACTGCTGCCTAATTAATCATGCATGTAAACAATTAATTACCAACTAATCTTGCTCTCTTCCCACACTTACTGAGCGCCTATAGAAATGACAGAAGCACACAAAAGCAACAATTAATCCTTACACGGAGAGCTTAAATCCAAATAAAAACGGACTGTCAGGGTTCTGGTGGGCTGACAAGAGCAGTGCGCAATAACGCTACGTCTTTTCCTAAACTGCACCATTCTGCCATTTCTTAAAAAATCTGAAATTACTGCCTTTTCACAGGCTGGAAAGGCCAGCAAGTCTGCGTTAGAGGACGACAACTCTGTAACAGTCTGTAAAGAAAATAATTTTTCGCTCAAGCTTTCAAACTTGAACAAATCTCATCACGAAACTCAATTACAAGGCTGCTTTAAAAAAAAAAAAACTTTATCACATCGTTTTACGATAAAGGGGATAAAGGGGGAAATGCCCTTGCGAGGAGAATGGAAATAAAAAAGAAGGGGCCTTACAGCAGCAGGAGACTAGGCAAGCATTGCTCCCAGGCCTGTCCCCTGATGTCCCCAGCGGAGACCCGGGACCGGAGCAAGCCTCCCCGCGGCGTCCCCCACGCCGCCCCCCCAACTCCCGCTCCCGCGGAGGCCCAGCGGGCGCCCCCGCCTTCCTCTGGGTCGGAATCCCGGAAGGGCTGGCGCCGAGCTGGACGCTCATCCTCAGGGGCCAGGGCACGTCCTGAAAGCCCCGCGGAGGGGCGCGCGGACACCGGGACCACCGTCCTCGCCCCTGGGGTCGAGCAGGACCCGCGGGGCCTCGGGGGTCGCCTCGCCTGCTCCCGTCCAGCCTCCCGCGCGGCGCGGGGCGCGCAAAACAGCGCAGCGCGGGCGGAAGGCAGGGGGGCGGGACCGCCGCCGCCGCTCGCGCTCTTTCAAAGTTTCTTCGGTGGCACAGTTCCTGCGCGCTTCCTGTGGGGGTGGCAGCCGCGCCCTCGGCGCCCCGCCGCCCCGCTGCCCGCCGGCTCCGGGCGGAGGAGGCGGGGAGACGCGAGTCTGGGGCCGGGGCGGCGGCAGGGACCCGGGACCGAAAGGGGCCGGGCGGGCGCGCCACTGGTCCTGGGGCTGGGTCCAACCAGAGCGCCGCGAGAGGGCGCTGCTGCCGGCGTGGCCCGGACCGGACGGCGGGACGCGGGCGCCCGCGGGGCAGGGCTGGGCCGCCCGGCGCCTCCCGTGCCGCGCCGACCAGGACACGGGCGACTGTGCCGCGAACCCCTCGCCTCCCCCGTGCGCGCCTGGCCGCCCGCTACTTACCCAGGAAGCCGGTGAGGAGCGCGAGCAGCGCTGGCGGCGCGAGGCGGCAGCCGCGGCAGGCGGGCGGCCGCATCCCGGCGGCGGCGGAGGCTGCGCTCCCTACCTGGGCGCGGGGACGGGAGACGCGCGGGGAGCGGAGCTGCGCCGCTGCCGCCGCCGCCCCGCCGCCGCGGCTGACCCTTCTCCGCTGGCTCCCCTCCTCCCTCCTCGGGCTCCGCCGCGCCATCGCCGGCCGCGCCCTCTGGCGGCCGGGAGCGGGAGCGCCCCGGTGCGCGCTGGCAGCGTCCGCCCGGCTCGCGGCTGCGGCTGGTGACCGGCCCGTCGGGGCTGCGGTAGGGGCGGCCGCGGCTCCGCCCCCACGGCGCCCTCCTTCGAGGCTCTAACCTCTGCCCCCTCGGGCCACCAGCCTCCAGCCCTCCTGTCCCTTCCTCCTCTGCGTCCCTCCTGACCTAGGCCCCGTCCCCTCCCTTCATGCCCTCCCACCTTACCGCGTCACCCCCCGCAGTAGCTCCACCTGTAAAGCGGAGGCGAGGGTAATCACTTTTTCCTCTCTGCTAACGTAGTATCTGCTGTGAAAGAAAATGTTTTTAATCAATAGTTCAACTCAAGATTGTTGGCACCAGTGTTTCTACTTTGATGAAGGTGTTTTTAATCAGCTCGACTCATTTACTTAATATCCCCTTGCAGTGGAATTTGGCCAATAGCCTAGGTCTGGGATTTGGCTTTTAAACAAGTTTGTGTAAATGTAATTTTCTATAAATGTAATTTTAAGTGTTCGCCATAATGGAAGAGAGTGGGTGTCGTTTTATTCAAAAAATATAAATTAATTAAACTGGAATACAGAGAAGTGGAGCGATGAGGGAGTGCCTCCTGTTCCCGCGGGACTGCCAAGGGACTCCCTCCCCAGCCCGGCAGAGTGGTGGCCCTGATAGGGACTGGCCCTGTTGGGTGGTGCGCTGAAGCGGAAGCAATTACAGGGAAGAAATAGAGCCTCCCCTCAGTGGTTCTGAACTCCCTCATGCCTGCCTCAAGCCTTGACTCCCTCCTGTTTCCAAGGAAGTGCGCAGTACCACGGGCTCGTCCTGGCCCTATTTAGCCCGTGACCTCTTGAAGACAGTATCCGTGTTTTCCTTCCTATTTTGTTCAGATGCCTGCTATGTGACTGCAGCTGTGCTGAGCACCCTGGGAAGGCCAGTATCTACCCCGTGGACGTACAACATTCACCTGCTTGCTAAGCATTTAAGGAGGACCAGGCCCTGGGAATACAAATAGGATGTGGTGGAGACAAGAGAAGCAGGTGCCGAATAAACATTGGTAGGTTGAGCCCTCTTCACTTGAATGTCTTTAGGCGACTCCGGCTCGAATGCGTTAGGACGGTATTCTCTGCCCGTGCAATAGCTGCTGATACTGTTTTGTAAAGGAAGCCTGGAGACAATGGGTTTTCTCTGTGTGGTTTATATTGACTTCTTAAAACCCGGAACTAAATATTTCATGTGTTATCCATTGAGCGTGAATGCAGATAGTTCTATTTTGTTCCAGTCGCCCAAGGTTTGTGGTTCTGTGTCAATATTATTTTGATAGGAGGAAAAAGAAATGTAGGGATCCTTCCATTTCATTTCTTAGTGCAGCTTTTGAAATCTACGGCTGACTGAATTCATTGCTCTTATCCTTGGGATATTCTAAAGCTTACCTGCCTAGTTGAGAGTTCTAGATTGTTTCCAGTTTCCAGAGCTGTTTCGCTTTCTTCCAAGAAAATATTCCTTGCGTATGTGGGGTAGTAAACATTTAACCAAACTGTGTTTAATTAGACACAGAAGGGTAATCAGCAAGGACAAATGCCTACTCTGTGTAGGTAAGCAACTCTTGGTGCTTAATCAATGTTTTCATGGAAATTCATCATGTTAAACAGTATTACTATGTTCTAGAACAAGGTGTGGAAATTAAGCCCTGAGGACAACAGAGAACACACTGTTTAAGTAATAAACTTGCCCTGGTGTCCTTCCTTTCCACAGTAGACACAGATAAATGGCACATTACAAAGCTCCATAACTCACATTTTAAAAAGAATTGCCTTTCACTTACTCAAGTCATATGATGGATGGACTTGCTTGGAGTTCTGTCTCCCAATCACTCGTTGAGAGAGTTTCCTAGGGCAATATACTCGTGAGGGTGCTAACAGATACGTGATAGGCACTGCCTGCCTATACCATCAACTGTAAAGGAACAATTCTAAGTAGAAAAAAAAAAATCCCAAAACTCTAAGATTATGATATGAAAACAAGCAGGCCATGTTCTTGGGATTCATTCAACATAATCCCAGCCATCACCTCCACGCTGGCCTCTGGAACTTGTTGGGGACAGGGGAAGAAGCAAAGAGCAATTTTTTATTGGGGAAGCCGCTGCTGCAACCTGGTTAAAACAGACTGGTAATTTTAAAGAGAATTCTAAATACTAAAGGAGAACATAAAGACATACGAAAACCATTGAGAGCCAAAATAATCTAACGAACAAGTTCTAGACGGATGGTTTATGATCTTACAACTATACTTGAGGCCCAAAAGGCTGAACCCCATTCATTCATTCAAAGGATGGGGAGCACTTCTAGTTGATATGCCCTTTGCTAGGCTCTGGGGCAGATATTAAAGAGCATGAAACGTGGCCCTGGGACCAAGACTTCACAGTCAAGTTAGACAAAAGGGTTCATAACTAACTGCTACTTTGTGATAAATGCTATGTCATGCGTAGATGAGAACATTTCAGAACACACAGGGAAAAGCAAAATTTCTCAGCACCTTTGGAATCTGTAAGAAAAGCTGCTGTTGAACAGGATCTTAAAGGAGAAATAGCAGGTTTCAGAGCTAAGAAAGGAGGACAGGCACCCCAGGCCCAGGCACAGCAAGAATGAACAAATCAGACAACAGCAGTGTAGCAGGTAGGGGGAGGGGCGGCAAGGTGGAACACCACCTCACTCTGCTCCCTCCAGCCTGCTCCCTCTCTCCTGTGCCTTGACAGGGGCCTCCAGGACACCCTGCTTCTGTACTAGCAAAGCCCAGAGGGCATATTCCAACTCTTTCCACTCTTCCCACTCTCTGGGCCCTCTCATTCAGTGTCAGGCCTAAAGTGGATTAGCAGTTGACACATTTCAGGAGGACCGTTCTCTTTCTGCATAAAACAGCAGCTTTATGAATTATAAGTGGTCTTGAGGATTATTTTCCAAACCTAAAATTAGGTCTTAAGGTCTAACAGTGAAATAGAATGTCTAAAGCAGGGCCTCCAGGACTTAAGGTCATGATAGTATCAGACCTATGCTACAGTACTTTCACCATCGGCTAACCATCCCCACACCCGACAATCAGTGGACACTGAGCAGTTACAGGAGAATGACTCATCACTTGCACCTTATGCTTTAGCCTTTGGGGAAGGAAGACAATCTGTATTCCCTGTGGAGAAGAGCGAGACAGGAAGAGAAGAGAGAAAGCAAAACTTGCATCACTCGGACACGGGGCCACAGCCCACTGCAGGCGCTCGGGAAGAATACTTGGACGACGTACAGTGGTTTCTTTAATGCGCTTGAGGAGCTTGTTTCGCATTGCTTCCAAAGCTATTCAGAAATTATAGGCAAGGCTGGGTGCAATGGCTCACGCCTGTAATCCCAACACTTTCGGAGGCCGAGATGGGTGGATCACTTGAGGTCAGGAGTTTGAGACCAGCCTGGTGAAAGTCTGTCTCCACTAAAACTATAAAAATTAGCCAGGCATGGAGGCACATGCTTGTAATCTCAGCTAGTCAAGAGGCTGAGGCAGGAGAATCGCTTGTACTGGGGAAGTAGAGGTTTCAGCGTGCTGAGAGCACAAAGCAACAGAGTAAGACTCTGTCCAGAAAAATAAAATTATAGGCCAACTTTCTGTCAGACCCAACTTTTCAACCAAAATTTTTATTCAAAGAGGCTTCACAAAGGGATTGTCACAGCCTAACAATCCTGAACCACAATCCAGGAAATAAAGCAGGTTACCATCTCAGCAAACCCTCAAGGAAAGCCCAGAAATCTGAAGCCATTGACATTTGATTTTCTGTTCTTTTCTGAAGACGAGTAATATAAAGACTGTCTGCAAGAATGAGCTATCCTAGAAACTTGTAATCAGAAATAGATGATCTACTTGGCTGTCTTGCTCTCCTTTCTAGAATCACGTATCCTCCTGTTCTCAGTAAAGATCAGGAATCACTCATAGCAGGCATGACAGGAAGTGTCTGCGTTTGACGTTTACTGAGAACAGAAGGCGTGGGGCATGACTGTTCAGCAGCCTACACAAAATGTGTTGGTGTGTTTGGTGCTGTTGCTAATAAGTAGTTGTTCATTTTACAACAACTGCTTTTAGATGTAGGATCCTGCTTAATAAGCTCAACAAAATTTGTATTTGTGACAAATGTATCATGAAGTAACTACATATGTGAGGCCCTCATATGGCATGCTAAGGTTGGAGAAAATGCATTTTCCTGGGAGAGATCACAGTCTAGTTCGGAGGGCTGAGACATACAGAAATAGCCATAAACCCACCCAGAATGTGGAAATCCCCTAAAAAGCATATGAACAATAGCAGGGAGAAGGAAAGCACAGTTCATCATCGGGGCTGCAAGGGGCCTCACCAAGATGGCGCAGTTGCCAAGAGAGAAGGGGAGAAAGCATTTCTAGCAGAGGGGACAGCCAAGAAATGCCATGGAAGACCAAGAGTTCAGAGATGGAGGAGCTGTTCAGTTTGGCCAGCACAGGAAGTAACACGGTGGGGAGGCTAGTTAGGACCACACAGAGCAGGGGTTTGGGTGCCATGCTAGGAGAATGGCCTTCCCATGGGTGGGGCAATGAGCAGTGGAGAGATGGAAGCGTGTTTTAGCAGGTGATGACCAAAACCTCCACTACAAGGCTTAGCTCGTAATGCCTACCTGGTGTCCTAACTCTGCAACCCCATCAGAAAAATAATGAGTATTTCAATTATAATGCATTCACATGATGAACACTCCGTTCCTGTGAGTTGGCACTGATTTAATGATTCATCGGTGCTGTGAGAAGTTTAATTCAGTGGTAATGTTGTGGATGGATTGGAGAGGGGAAGGAAAGAAAAACGACTGGCTGAAAAAAATTACGAGAAAGAAGAAAGGAAGGAAAACTAACATGTACTGAACACGTGGAGTAGCTAGGCATTCTGCCAGTTACTTTCAAATGTATT